CTATAGAAAGTGAAATTTTAAAAACTTTTCTTAAATTTTAGTTACAGCTTATTACGTCATCATTGCGTCATCAAATAATTGAAGAACTATTTCATTTCTTCCAGTATTGACACTTAAATTTTTTTCTTCAATTTTGAAAAAGAGCCTTAAGGCTCGTCCAATTTTGAAAACTTTCAAAACATCACTCGTACCTATAAATTCCGAATTGTACTTGAGATTGTGCGATTTCCTATACAAAGTGAATTTTTAAAAACGTTTTTCTAATTTTGGCTACAGCTCATTACGTCATCAAATCATTGAAGAACTATTTCATTTCTTCCAGTATTGACACTTAAATTTTCCCCTTTAATTTTGAAAATAATTTCACCTTTGTGAAATTTATTCTATCACCTGCAGAAGAATCGTTTCACAAAAATTTTAATAACAATGGTTATTTTCCTTTTCATTGAAAAGATATCTTTGTCTCTGGAACAATAAGAATTCTTTAGCAATTCTATAAGCCTCATGCAAATAAAACAAGTTCTCTTTAAATTTTAAATTGTTTTGAATAATAAGAGTTAGCTTTGTTGTTACTGTCAAGGATTTAAGTTTTATGAAGTAAGGCTTAATTGACACATTTTATCCATTAAAATTGGTCTATATATTTTGGAGTTTTTTAATTTCAAAATGTCAGCTGTTCGTACACGTAGAAAGAAGTGTAATAAGAAAACCTTTGAATAATAGAGGAAATTTAAAACTTTGTGTGAGACATCACGCACACTGTTCTAGCTCTGTTATGCCCCAGTGCCATGTTCGAATGCTTGATTCTTCACCTGCTATGTAAATGACTAAATTATTTACCTTCGTATACACTAGAAATGAGTAAGAAGAAGTTAAGCTATAATGAGAGGTTTTCTAGTCTATATATAGTTTGCCACAATGACAATAACATAGACTTCCAACGATTACCATATTTGATCTTTCATTTTTTTATTTTCATTTTTCATTTAATTGTAATTTTTCCTTTATCTCAATTTTCTGTTGGATGAATGAATAAAATAGAAACCTGATTTAAAGTAGAGTTTACAACTCAAAAATGGCTAATTAAACAAAATTATGYGTAGTTCATGGCATATATCAGTGAAACAATTACTAGCACATATCATAGCCCTTAACTTGAAAGTATTTGGTTATCAACTAACTAAGAATTCACTATAGGCAGAAACCAGACTATAAGGTTTTTGTTTTCATTGTTCTGCTCCGGTAATATCCACTATTTTGTACAAAAATAGCAGCTGAATTTAGACAATACATCTTGAGTTTTGTTTCACAGATATATGGGGTGCACTCTGTTATGACAGAAACATACAATTCATATCTAAACATTTAGTGCATTTTTATCATATGCAGTTGCCTATAGACCCCTTGCATGTGATGTCAAAGCAGCTCAGTCTTGGGGACAAGACAAAAGAATTTCAATCTCCTGAGAATTGAAACCTATTGTCTTATCCTAATAAACAAAAAAATTAACTAGCTAAGTTTTGCGAATATAAACAGATGATTCAGATGTTTAGTTTTTTGTCTTCTCTCAATCAAACAATTATTGAGGCTGTAGTCCAAGTAGGAGAAAATGTGCTGTGCATGGAGTTGGCAAAAAACTCAAAAAACTTATCGTTGTAACCATGTTATTTTAATATATTATTTCTTGTTTGTTTCTTCAGGTGTTGCAGATATTTTTTCCATACTCTATGCAGCTGTATCCCCATGAGTTTCCTGGAACAGATCCCAAAGATTGTCCAAGAGATGCAACTAGAACAAGGTACTGAAACAACCTGTGCTGATCAAATTATTCTTTAAATGTCAAATTAAAGTTAATGATGGTTTTTATGTTAAGTCGTAAAGGTTTTTGTAGGTTGGATTCATATTATGAAACTCAAATTGACTCATCAACCTTTAAAAATAATTTTATATTTTCCTTAGCTTTCGACCGACACGGTCATCCTCAGAGGAACTAAAATATGTTACATTATTAACAAAACCTATGCAATCAAGCGTTGTACATATGCGCGAGGAAAAGAATCACGCGCACAAACCTGAAAGCACAAGAAAATCACAAAAGATTTATGTAATTTACTGGCAGAATTCTGCCACTGTCTCTGTTAAAAATAATGTTCTTTTGCTTTGATATCTCAGATGCTTCCAGCCACTTTCTTTGGTTTTTATCTTGTTTATACCCCAAGAAAGACCAGAATGCATCTTTTCAACCCCTGAAAATATTTTCATTTCCCCCTCTATTTGAAGAGCCAAGGAAATAGGGTGCAATAATGCCGACCACCCAGACAAGTATGGTCACTATAGAGAAGCAAAGTTTACTATGACCAAACACCACTGGTGGTGGAAGGTGTGTACCATTACATTACATCCAACAAACCAAGTTACAACCAAGTTTTTAGGGTGCTCACCACTTTTTAAGCTGCTTCCCATTTTTTAAGGTGCTTCCCACTTTTAATTTTAAGGCACTTCCCACATTTAAAGCTGCTGCTTCCCACTTCTTAAGTTGCTTCCCACTTTTTAAGGTGCTCCACACTCTTTCGGTTGCTTCCCACTTTTTGCTAGGTGTTCCCTCACCTTCTTGGGGTGTGCCCCACTTTTTGGGTTCTTCCCACTTTCTGGGTGCTCCTTCCCACTTTTTAGGGTGCTCTCCACTTTCCAGAGTTCTCCCTAGTTTTTGATATCACTAATGTATAGGATCAATTTGCCCATCCCTTATTCCTATCATTTCCATGGTAGGCCAATATGGTTTTTGATGGATTAAACATCACCAAGAATTACAATGGACCTGTTGTATTTCTGGAGGAAGATCATTATGCTTCTCCAGACTTTTATCATGTATTAAAGAAACTTTATGAAACAAAATTAAAGTAAGTATCCATTACTAAGCTGTTTAGCACTATACTATTGGATCTTAATGTCACATCAATTTATTAATAAGTGTAGGTTCAACCATGTGGTTTCAAGTGCAATTGACCTTTTTGGCAATAGGCATCACGTAGTATAAATTGTGCTGCATTGCGTTACGGTCACTAAGAAGTTCGGACATTGCTCTTGAATTTCCTTACAAGCGTAATGACTTTTAAACGAATAATTTACTTGGTTTGTTTAGCTAGCTTTCTAAATAGAAGCAAAATATTTTTTTCTAACTTGATTGAAGCTTTTCTTGCCACTGTTTAGAGCTAACTAAAGAAATCGATCTGAATTCTCTTTTTAAAGTCAGTGAATTTGTATTGGAATCCAAGAGCAATGTCAAACGCATGACGCTTGATGATTGAAGGTTAATGCTGAAAAGGTGAATTGCAAGAATCAATTTGCGCAAGTGGGTTTTTCAAAGAGCTTCAAAATAGCACCAGCTTGATAGGAAGAGTGCTATTTCAGCTCTTTGAAAAACACATGAGTAAAAATCAACCCCAAATTGAACCATTTCATACTAATAAACATGGAAAACTTTTTTCTGCTGTTATTAATTACCAGCACTGCTTTTAGCAAATCAGAATCAAGTAATTTTTTCATATATATGATGATGATGATGATAATGATATAAATCAACATTATTTAAACAAAGGGTTAAAGAAAGGAAAGAATATCTGGGGTGTGGTGACCAATTAAAGTAATGAGACTTGCAAGCTGGTCTTTATCTCTTCACATCAAAAGTGAAGATAAGCAAGAAATGAAATCTTCTAATATGACTCTGTTTAATTTTTAATTTTTACTTTTTTTTATAGGGACAGTAATTGTGATGGAGGATGTGATATCCTTACTCTGGGTACATATACTTTGACTCCAAACTACAAAACTGCTGGAGAGAATGTTGTAAGTGAAAAATAGATTTGCTAGTCTTTGGCATCATTAACTACTGCCACCATTATTATAATAATCATAACCACCCAATATTTTACAACATTGTCTTCCAGCTTGCTTAAAAATCGATGGATCGTTATGAAACTTCAGATTCTCACTAAATAGATGGGCATAATGCTGTCTGCCAAGTTTGGAGAAAATCTATCAAGCCCATTTTTTAATGCAATTTTTTTAGCCTATTTTGCCAATAGATACAAGCAATTAAAAAATATATCTAAATTCACTCACAATTATGTTGGAGTCACCTTAATGATTTGCATCTTAAAAATCCTATGTTAATAAGCTAATTACCTTTTGGTACAGGTTGAGCTCCAGAAATGGCGTTCTGTTCGCCATAACATGGGGATGGCTTTTGATAGAAATACATGGGAAAGTATCAAAGATTGTAAGCAGGTAAGTGCAAGRGGACTAATTGTTTTAGTCAAATCACAGGTATCCCAATCCCAATTTTAATGTCAATCGAATTACAGTAAATGTATAGAGTTCGTAAAAGATAAATTAATATAATGTATCAAACTGAGCTGATCCTCGCAGTATATGAAGTAACTTGTGCAGCTGCAAATTCAGAAAGACTCAGAAAAATGTTTCATATATATTCTCATACACAAATTAATATGAGCTAAGAATTACATTTTTTTGTGTTTATTTATTTTTTATTTAAGTCAATATTTATACAGGCACCTCTAGTTTAGCAAGGCTAGTTTAAATAGAGTCCTTTTTTGGGTGTGGTATGAGTTTGAGGGCCAATCCATCCAGTATTTCACAAGATACAGTAAATTTTGTTTTTTTCCTTTAAAATTAGAATTAAATYAAAATTATGACACTAGCTGGATTTGAGTCAATCATATTATCTGCCTTTCTTGTTCTTGGTGCAAAAAAGCTTCACAAGTCCTCCCAGTTCAGTCAAAATACATCATTCAGTTACCTAGATTACTGGATTGTAACATTTAGTTCCATATTTTAGTTATTTTGTGCATATGATGATTATAACTGGGACTGGACGTTAATGAGGATCAGTCAAACCTGCCTGAGAAAACCACTGAAGGCGCTCGTAATGAAGACACCCAGGGTATTTCATATTGGCGAATGGTAAGTAAATCATACCAGGTCTTTCAGTATTATACGATATCTTTCAGTATTAGGAAACTGACACCCAGTTGGCTCAATAGAAATAGTCTATTTTCTAAACTTCGGACTCTTGTGCAGGAGGTCATGGGTTCAAGCCTTGGCGGCCGGACAAACACTCAGGGTCTTAAAATAACTGAGGAGAAAGTGCTGCCTTTGTAATTGCATCTACAAATCTCCTCATTACTACCATCATCCCCCCTGTCTTTTTGTCGAATTAGCACCATCTCCCCCCCCCCCCCCCCCCCCCCAAACATACACATGGGAAATGAATGCCTGACTTACGACCTTTGTTTTTTTGTTGCTAGTGGCATTCATCACAAAAAGAAAGAATGTAACCCAGACCAAACAGTCAGTAAGTTCAACAGCATTATCCAAGACAACGCGGACAGTTTTTTCCCAGCATCGCTCAAAGTAGAACACAAATTTGGCGAAGTATCAAGCAGTCAGCCTAATGGAGGGTGGGGCGACACGCGGGATCATGACTTGTGCTTGTCATTTGTCAAGACGTGATAAGCAAAACGTATGGTTTAAGTCAGTATATTCTATTACCATCCGACCCTTATAGCCTTAATACACGGCCCAACGATTCCAATCGTTGTTTTTAGGAACGACTATTTTTAGTATTCTATCTTTTTCGACAAAAGAAACGATTAGTTAAAAATGGTCAATCATTTTAACTTCGTGAGCTTTTGCAGTTGTCGAAAGCCCGAATCGTATACGACCAACTAGACGTCGAGTCAAAAAAGTGAAATTGAGTTCCGTTTAACCAGTAGCCACCAATGTCACGTCAGAAAAAAAATGCATGATTTCTCCGCAAAAATCAACTTCTAAATTCCAATTGGAATCCAGTGGAAGAAGAGCCACTCTGTGGAATCCAATGTTTATCCCATTATTTTATTCTACTGCCGTCGCAAGTGAAAACCGGTATTTAGTTTTAGGGAGGATCATATATGGCAAATGAATGGGACACCCGACAAATGATCAGATAAATTGTAAGGTACACCCAATTTATTTATTTGTATAATTCATAGGCACATTCAAACCATTATTATCTATTCCTATCACGTTATGCAAAATTTGCGATGATAAATCTTGTCGGTTTAGCCCTCGTCGCTTGAAGGTCAGCGGTTGTGGCTAGGAGTAGAAAGCAAATTTGAAGTCCTTTCTCCCTCGTTTTTCTCTCGTAACCTACCCCTCGCAACAACCACTGTATAATCTAATGGAGCGATTATTCGTATCATTTACGTACCCGCACCCTACTTATTTCACAGCCATTGATTCAGCCGCGTTGAATTCCCGCGGCATTCAGAGAGCAGAAATCTCTTGATTTGTGAAAATCGATCAAATCAAGACAATCACATTCAAGTAGCCAATACAAGGATCATACGAAGACTAGCAATTATACTTAAGCTTGTAACTATTTTTGATAGGCAGGTGAATTTATAAATTTAAAAAATAGCGCTTATAGAATAAATTTAGTGTATACGATACGACACTTTTGTAAAATAGGTCATTCATTGAGGTTTATCGTTTCGTGTGGTCTAAAGATGGATAAGGTTTGAGGGAAATGTTGGCCTTGACGTTCTTCCCAATCCCCACCGATGTTTTTAGGATAACAGAGAGAACGATAAAGAAAAGACTCCGGGTGTCAGATGTCCGCTTTATCCCGTACCACCTATGGGCGTGGAGACCATCTCACCGTTCGTCTAGCGTCGGTGGAAAGGCACAGCTACCTTTCAAGACGGCGCAGAAAACTGTGAAAGGGAATTTTAAACACGTACACTTCCTTTTTATTGGATAACGAGATGAAAGAAAATAATTATCAGAAATGTTTGTATAAATGTTTGCGCCCGATTTACTTTATTTTCATGTTCTCGTTATTTACAAGTATGTTTTTTTAGTCCAGTTAATAAAGAAAATACATGAGAGCGGCTCGGAGAGAGAAGTTTTACGGTATGTTTAGTTCAGGGGATCAACGGGTTCCTCTGTAGCTCCCATACCTTGGAGTTTACGCCAACCACCACCCCCCCCCCCCCCTCCTCCTCCTCCTCCTCCACTTTCCATGAATTAGAGCATTGAACCATTTAACCTTGTTTTGAGGTTAGAATATGGATTTAAAATTTTAAAAATGGCTTTAAAATTTGTTCTTGTAAGAAAACGGAGTTGGTTAGCACTGAACCACATAAGGTATAGATTGAAGGTATGTAGGATAGTAGAACAGTTGCTTGATTATGTTATCTTTTGTAGGCCTTCATTCTACGCCGGATTTGATTTTCTAGCTCATTTAAGTCTTGTTCTCGTGCGTGTTCGTAGATCAGTTCGAGTGCCTTGCCTACCTTGTCATTGGCTTTTATAAATGCGTTTGCTTCGTCTGGCGACAAAAATGAAGCAAAATTTGAAACAGGTACCAATGTAGACATAAGTTCAACAATATTATTCTAGAACAACTCCATATTTCTTCTCACCTGACCTCACCTTGTTTCACTTCACCCCACACCTTCACCTCACCTCACCCCAACTTTTACTCACCCACCTCGCCTCAACCCACCTTACCCACCTCACCTTACCCACCTCACCTCAACCCACCTTCCCTCAACCCACCTTACCTCACCTACCTTTCCTCTCCTCATCCAACCTTTTCTCCTGAGCCTACACTGCCCCTTCCCTCTCCATTGTACTTAAATGGATCGTTAGCACAGGAGCAGATAAAGAAACGAAAATCCCCAAACCAGACCCAGGTACTTACTCGTAGCTCGTCCCTTAAAGATGATGTCATTGAGCGGAAATTCCTTGACTACGAGTGGCTTTTTCTTCGCAACTTTATTCCTAGGTTCTACCTTTTTATTTTGTGACGAGGAAGAGGCAACTTTCTTAGAATGGTCGGGGAATTTCTTATCATCACTGAGCCTTTTATCTTCATATTTCGGTGCGGTTTTTAGTGAACGTGTTGTCCTACTTGACTTTGGGGTTTGTTTGTCACTCCGTTCTATTGGTATTTTGATATCATTCGCGTCAGTCCTTTTTGTTTTCACTCGAGTTTGACTATTGGGATGTTCGTTTGCTATATCTTTTTCTGGTCTGCTTTGGTCTTGTCTAGTTTTAGGAACAGCACTTTGGACACAGTATACCAGCAAAACTAATACGGCCAGCCGTAAAAGTAATTTCATTCTGATAATGGGACTTGGCATGGTCTCAATACCTGTAAAAAATATAAAGTAGTTTGTAATGGGGAAAAAGGACACTGAAATGGTTATAGAAAACTGAAGAAGAAGAACCAAGTAAATTAGGTATGCCGAGAAAGTAAGGGAGAAACGAAGAAAGGAAGACTAAGAATAAAGGAAGGAAGGTAGGAATGAGAAGGAAGGAAGGAAGGAGAAGGAAGGAAGAGAGGAAGGAAGGAAGGAAGGAATGAATGAATTGAGGAAAGAAGTAAGAAACAAACAAACAAAGAAAAAACAAATTTACTCGCTCGGGGAAAATTAAAGGGAAACTCTGCTGTCAGGGGAACCGAAAAACAGAGGGGAAAAAATGATTTAATAATTCTAAACCGTTAGACATGACTGTTCTTTTAATTGAAATTTCCTTTCCTCTTGACCCTTTTTGTTCCTTCTTTACATGTTTTCTTTTCATTTCTTTTCTACCTTCAAAACAAAACGTGGTGGCACAGTTGCATTTATTCRAGTCAAAAACGCCAAGCAAATGCAAACATCGTATCGTCGCTGTAAACTTTAATATCAAAAATCATGTGAGAAACTAATGCGAGAAATTAGCTTACGAACAACTTGATGTTTACTTAGGTATTTTAGAAACTTTCTCTTATTACTATATGAGAAGATTCTTAAGAATAATTTCTTCTTAAGCGGAATTTGAAAAAATACAAAATTATAGTCTTTCTATTTTTTTTCGGAGACGTTTCGTGCCGCTCGCCTATTTCAACAAAAGTAATTAGGAGAATTAAGTAAAAGACGTAGTTTGAATATTTGCATAATTTATTCTGATTTGAACAGTATTTAAAATACTTGTTTTTCAATTTTGATGAGTTTTAGGACTTACAAAATATTCTTATGTAGAAATATACTGACATGGTATGCTCTTTGCTCGAGGAAACAAACGGTTTCAGTTTGAACCCAAAAGCGTTTGAGGAAACCTAATTAATGAACCTCTTTACATGAATGAATCATTCATTGGAATCATTTTTACTCTTTCGTTGCTTGGTTGCGAATATTGCCACATCAATCAGCAACTTCACAGCTGCTTTCTTCTAGATATTGTTTGAAACCTCCTTGAAAAAGTTACAATAAGTATGAGACGATGCCTCAGATTGGACGCTGTTTTTGATATGGTGGTCTAAGCTTTGACTATCTCGCGGCTTTAACTCAGTTCGACCCGTAGTGTACTATAGAAAATAACTAAGTATATAGATACTCTGCTAGGAAAACAATGTACTTGTGATAAAACTGATAATGAATTTTGAGATTTTCACATCAACTCACCCTAGAGAAGTCGCCAGTCTTATAAAAAGCTTGTGAACTATTTCTTGTCTCACGGACGAGAGCCGAGTGCGTGTCCTTTGCCAACAGCCAAGATAGATTAGAAGGAGTGACAAAACTAAATTAGTGAGTTCATTTAGGAGTAAATTTAAACGGATATTATGCATGCAGCATGATCTACACGTGAACAGAGGAGTAACACTCTCGTCTGCTGTGTAAACAGTTCTCTCCAAAAACAAAAGAAAAAGCGATTTGGTTGTCTTTGGTTACGCAAATACGTAAAATATGCCGTACAAGTTGTTGTAATATATTTTGGTAAATAACTTAGTAAAACAAAACGAAACTCTCGTCAGTGACTTGGCAGGAACTGGGGACATTGGGGACTTAAATCCCGAGGAAATCTAAAGGGGGTACTCTGTAGCCAACCCATATATGACGCGAAATGGACTGCCTTTTCTCTTCTCTTCTCTTCTCTTCTCTTCTCTTCTCTTCTCTTCTCTTCTCTTCTCTTNTCTTGTCTTCTCTTCTCTTCTCTTCTCTTCTCTTCTCTTCTCTTCTCTTCTCTTCTTCTCTTCTCTTTAGTCTATCGTTTCCTTTTTCCCTCTTTCATATGCAACCTTACATACGGCCTATGGCCATAAATGGTCATCATGTTCAGAAAAGAAAGCCCTGCATATGTGAATCAGGAAAAAATCATTGTAGATTCAAAGATATAAATGTAATAGCAATCAATGCAAGGCGTTACTCTTCTGTTCCGTTTCACTTCCGGTTGGGCTTGTTCTTTCACTTCCGTTTACATCACTAGAAGCTCGTGGGCTCACTTGCGCGTTGAACGAACAAGAAGAATCATATCCGATCGAAGGAACTTGAAGCAGCTCATAGATCCAGAATTTTGCAGAGAAAACATGGTTAAACGTACTCTTACGAGTGTAAAGATCGTGGATATACAGAAACGAAAAGTTCCTAGCAAACATTATGTAAGTATTTGGATATTTTGTGTGTTTGGGAAAACTATTCTTCCGGTTTATAGTAACTATAGGGTTGGTGCTTGCCCCATTAAAAACACTCAAAACAAACAGCATTTATAAACAAATATCTAATTTTTTCGAAGTCTTATGATTCCAGTATCAGTTTTCAAATAAAGATTTAACATTTTCTAGCATATAAATTTTACAAGAAGCCTAATCCTAAGATTTATTTCATTTTATACAGTTGATTATCATATTTATTTTTTGTTAAAGACTGATTAACAAAGTTCAAAGAATAAAGGATATAAAAATGTTATTAAAAATATATTACGTTTAAAACTGTATTCGTAGGTGTATGTTATAAGTGTTACATGGTCAGATGGAAGTGTAAATGTAGTTTATAGAAGATACAGCAAGTTCTTCGATCTTCAGGTAAAATGTTGTTATACGACTGATATTTGAACGTACACATTAAAATAGAATTACTATAATTATCTGTCTGGTATGAAATTAAATGTGCTACATTGCTAAACGTTGCTATATCGAAAGCTATATTGCTTTCCATAACTTTCCATACATCCTGAAAGTCCTAGACGACGAAGATTATTTCTTTAAGACCCGCTGTGTCGTTCCTTGCGTACTGTAAATTCGTGGTATTTTCCTAAACTTTATATTTATTCATTCATTCAATGACGAAATTATTTGTTTTTGGATATCCAAAATCTAAATTAACATACGTTAGATTCACAATTATTATAATGTAACCGGCGGCAAGGCGCTCAGCTATGAATCAGATTGCAAGTGGTTTTGACAAAAGAATTTATTGAAAAATTCACACAACTTTACAATACTCGAAAAAAAACGGGAACAAGATTACAGGATATCTCTTTACATCGTAGAGAATTCCTTGTCTTGATATGTGCAACGTCTTCAAGAACTTTTACTACACTGCTTTAAGCTTAGTTTGGGCCTATTTTTATGGAAAAACCTGCATTCTTAAGACCTTACACATCCTATGCAATGTTGCACG